CAGTTCAAACCCACTAGCCACTTCTCAGAAGGAAGGTTGGGCAACCTTCTTCCATAGAGATACTGCCTCAGAAACCCAAGGAGGGGTCGTTATGAGTCAGATATGACTCGATGGCAGTAAGTTTGTTTTGCTTTTTTTTATACATAGTCTGATGTCCTGACTGCTGCTTCCATTGGCATTGATTGTAGAATCAAGCAATGTGAAGTCTTTGACAACTTCTATCTTTCTCCATTTCTCGCAACGCTGCTTATTGGTCCAGTTGTGAGGATTTTTGTTTTCTTTATATTGAGATGTAATCCATACTGCAGACTGTATTCTTCAACCTTCATCAGTAAGTGCTTCAAGTCATGCTCACTTTCAGCAAGCAAAGATGTGTCATGAGCATATCACAGGTTGTTAATGATTCTTCCTCCAATCCTGATACCACATTCTTCTTCATATAGTCCAGCCTCTTGGATTATTTGCTCAGCATATAGATTGAATAAGTATGGTGAAAGGACCCAACATTGATGCACTCTCTTCTTGATTTTAAACCATGCAGCGTCCCCTTGTTCTGTTCAAATGACAGCCTTCCGGTCTATGTACAGGTTCCTCATGAGTACAATCAAGTGTCTGGAATTCCCATTCTTCTCAATGTTGTCCACAATTTGTTATGATCCACACAATGAAATGTGTTCAATAATTCATTACAGTGGCCACACAGAACCTACAAACAATACTCATGATTATGGGGTTTATTAGGGAAGTAATATGTTATAGGACCAACAGACCTATGTTTATAACCAGATATTATGACATAGAACTCATCAAGAAGGCAACATCAGGAGCTCAACACTAGTTCTTATCATAAGCTAAGCCCTGACTTACAGGGAAAAAACTGCTGGAAACACCAAATATTGAGAGAGCCCTGTCTTTCATTGGGCAAATAGAGGCAGAAGAAGAGGAAACAATCATAAGCCACTAGGACAGTGAGTGAGTTTTGAAATGGCATAGTAGATATCTCAGCCTCTCCCTGCCCCCTCCCCTCCCCCAACAGGGACAGAACAGGATGGAGCAGTCATCCTGACCATTGCCCTGTCCCCACTCCACTGTCACAAAATTGCTGGTCTCAAACCATACTTTTCTCTTTGGGGCCCTGGGTTTTTACCAGCTCTCTACAGACTACTACTCTTGCAGATTCATCCAGCAGGAGCAGGAGCAGCAGGCTCTGGTGGGATTAGGAACCTTGCCTGAGCACCCCAGTCCTCTCCATATAAACAGCCTCAGAATGGTCAAAGGAGTCTGAGGAAATGAAGGCAAATGCCTTGCTCTTATAGGGCTACATATGAGCAAGGGGCCCACCTCAAGGTTTCAAATCCTGTCACTTATATTCATTCCCACGACTTGAGATGCTACTATACAATGAATATCTTCCCCAAGAGTTCCAAGCGTCCTTCAGTCTCTGGCTCTTTTCCAATTCTATGCTGATAAAAGATACCACAAAAATAAATAAATAAATAAAAGATACTACAGAGAGAACCTACAAGCCTTTAGAACAAATACATTATTTTCCATATCCTTCCCTACGTTCTGTTCAGTTCTATACCTTTTGAAAAAATAAATCCTGCCATTTACCTGTAAACTCAAGTTTTGTTTTCTTAACAAATATTCCTTTCTGTCTTTTTCCATTTTCTCCTCGGCCTCTTCAATGCATTTTTTCTGCAATTCAAGTTCTTCTTTCTCCAAGTTTATCTTGGCATAAATCTCATTTATGTAAATAGTTGCAGCAGCTTTGTTTTCCATCGTGTGGTTGAGTGAAAGAACAAACTTTTCATGCTCCTTCTGTAACGTCTCTTGCTTTTTCCTAGGAGAAAATAACCATTCATGACATAAAAAAAATACACTTGAAGGAAGGAAATTTAAAGTCAATTTGGTGAGATAAATCACCTTAAAGTGAGGAAATTGTAAAAGATAATTATTTTATAATTGTGCTTGTAGTTGTCTAAACTCAGTTGAGATGACAGAAGGAAACACGAAACAAGTGTCAATTTTGCAACTGTTTTCCACTGAAAAAAATGTAACACAGACTTGTCTCTCCCCACCCATCCCCACAGACCAGGGCAGGGTTCAGATAGTAACTATGGGATTGTGGTGCAGTGAATTACTTAGTATGGCTCTGCTAGCCATGGTCTGTGACTCCTACCAGATGACTGACTGGAACTACACATATATAAGGTGCTTGTGCTCCACCAAGGGGATTAGACAGCTTGTTAATAATGTAAATAAGGTACATCCCTATGGAAGTAGAACCATGGGAAAAAGGTGTATGGAACCCTAACGTGGGGATTGGTCAGTTTTACCATTCCATTAGGCTTAAAATGAACCATCCCAGAGACAGAAAGGGGGATCTTACTGTCATCAAGAAAGAATCAGGAGTGCAGCACATCCTTGGACCTGAGATCCCTGTGCTGGGCCCCTTTGACGGAGAGACAGCAGAAAGATGACAGAAATGGTAGAGAGAAAGCAACAGCAGAGGCAGCAGAACTATCAGACCAACAGGAAACAGAGCAGAGGGCTTGCAAGGCCAAGGAGCAGGAGAAAGCTGAGTGACTTCAGGAAGGAGGCCTGCTGGCAGAGTGGGGTGTGCATCTATTGGCAAAGCTAGAAAAGCTCTCTAATACTTAGCTGAGCAGAGCCAAGCTGAGCTGGCCAGGCCAAGAGGCTGAGGGCCCTAGAGAGGTGTGCCTGCAGGTATGGCTGAGGGGAGGTTGTCCTGATCAAAGAATTGTATCCTGAGCATTCTTGATCCTGAATTGTAACCTATTACTTCCCTAATAAACTCTATAATCACAAGTATTGTCTGTAGGTTCTGTGTGGCCACTGTAATGAATTACTGAACACAGAAGAGAAGTAGAGTGCTGTGGGAGGGACAGTTGTGTTAGAATTGGTGGAAAGGTACAAAGGTGGTGGCATGTCTGACCTCTGCCTCATGGGAATTAGCCTTGAGCTGATTCTGCTGACGGTGATTCTGTCTCCCCATTGTGAAGTCAGAGGAAGAAAGAGGAAGCCACCTCCATGCCTTTTTGCAGGGGTATTTTGGTTTAAGGTGTAAAATGACTCAGAGAGTTTTGACTGGGTCGATGGGATCTGGCCAGATGTTTTGATATACAGGTAGTCCCCAGGTTATGAACATCCAACTTTCAGACAGCTCCTATGTGCCCTCTAAGCAAGACTTCTGATTCGAACCAGTTCTGTCATGGCTGAGGAGGTGAAACTGGAACAGACCTGAATTTTTACCATTTGAGTGATTCGTCATGGTAACCAGAATGGGAAAAATTATGGGTGGAAACCCTGGCAGGGGAGACACTGAAGAGGTTCAGGGAACCCCTTCAGGAACCTGATGTGTGACTGGATTATTGGCAGGGCTGTGGAGAGCCACACATTCAAAGTGACACAGTTGGCCACCCTCTTTGAGCAGGCTGCTGCTGTTTCATCTCTGCTCACCAGTTCCAACCCCTGTTTTAATGTTATGTAAATTTATCCTCACTTTGAAAGGATGGAACCAACCTCTACTAACATCAAATTCTTCGTCACTTTCACCTTCACTTGCTGCATGCATGTGTAACTTTTAAATCATTAAAAAGGCTTTGAGCCTTTTCTTGCAATACCATAAAGCTAAATAAATCTGTTCTGACTGGCCTACAAATTCGAATTAAAGATACACTCAGGAACAGGTCTCATTCGTAATCCAGAGATTGCCTGTATAGCATTGCCCTATCTATCTTATCATCCTAAAATAAAGTAGTTAAGCCAAAGAAAGATAAACCTCTCACTACATTTCTCGCCAACTTCTGATGCAGGAGGCATAGAAGAAAGCAAGCCTTCCTCTGATGAAGTTAGCGGGGGGGGGGGGCAATGCTCTTAAAGGGTGGAGTCCACCTTCACTGTTCAGAGTGAAACCTAAGGTGCTTGAAAGTCAATTTGAACCCTCCTATCTTCTCCCAAGGAGCTCTGGTGGCACAGTGCCTAAGGCATCTGACTAGTAACCAGGTTGGTGGCTCAAACTCACCAGCTGCTCCCTGGAAGGAAGATGGGGCAGTCTACTTCCATAAATATTTACAGCCTTGGAAACCCAATGGGGGTCGCTATGATTTGTAATTGACTCAATGACACTTTGTTGTTGTTATTTGCCATCGAATTGGATCTGATTCATAGCTACTCCTCCTTGGGTTTCTGAGGCAGTATCACTATGGAAGCAGATTGCCCAACCTTTCTTCTGAGGAGTGGCTGGTGGGTTTGAAGCACCAGCCATCTGGTTAGCAGTCAAGTAAGTGCCTTAGGCACTATGCTACCAGAGCTCCTTCAATGACACTAGGTTTGGTTTTTGGTTTTATCTTCTCCCAGCCACAGCTGAGTCTGGATTCCAGAGGAGACAACCTCATACTTCTGCTGCTGGCCATATCAATCATGAGGAAAACATTAAGATCATGAGAAATATATACCCCAGGATTAACAAAAAAAGATTTGGAGGAGGAGCAATTGGTGTCATTTCTATATTTTCCTTTTTAAAGCCCCCACAACCTAAGAGTGCTTTTCCATTTTTCTAGTGCTCAGGGTTAAACACTGTTTCATTCCAGTAGATCATGTATGAAGGCCCAGGAAAATGAAAACAGGCTGTTGCTGAGTTTCGTTTGCAGAAATTGACTCCACAACAAGAATGAAATAAAAAGAAGCCTGAGATAGAGGCTCAGTGAGGGGCTAGGTAGTGGGTGCTTTGTGGCTTCAGCATAGGAAGCCTTCTAAGAATAAATCAGCCCCAGAATCAAGTTCAGGTAGTCTCAGGGAAGCATAAAAACAAAACAAATAAAAGAACTAATTAGGTATACGATGATGGTTGGAAATGAGAGACATTACAGACTGCACGTGGAACATAAAGAAAACAATTCAAAGAGCTAGAATGAATCCAACTTTCGAGGACGGTCCAAGAGAGTTGTGCTCACCACAAAAGTTGTGCTCATCATAAGCATGTGGGTACCCTGATACATACACTACTGTATACTCTATATTATTATATATATTTAATAAATTGTTAGAAAGAATGGATACAGACATGATGCTAGCTCACCAAGCAACCAGCTTCTGCTTGTAATTTCTTTCCATAAAGATTTGTCTCAAGCACAGTTCTCAAAGTGTGGTCAGGACCAGCAGGACCAGCATTATCTGGGAACTTACTAGTAATGCAAAACTTCAGGCCCCACGCAGACCTGGATCAGAAACTCTGGAGTGGGTTCTGGTAATTTGTGTTCTAACAAGCACTTCAGGTGGTTCTGATGCATGCTTACACTTGAGAATGGAGGTGATACGGTGCTGAGCAGCTGATGAGTGCCCAATCTGGGTATTATCTTATTATTCACTTATCTATTAATATTCTACTTTATATAGAGGTCTCTGGTGATTGTGGATAATATGTACCACACACAAATCTGCATGTGAAACTCCAATAGTGATTCCAAAAACCAAACCCACTGTCCTTGAGTCAATTCCAACACATAGTGACCCTTTAGGGCAGAGGAGAACTGCCCCCACAAGGTTTCCAAGGCTGTAAATCTTTATAGAAGCAGAATGCCTTATTGTTCTCCAGTCAAGTGGCTGGTAGGCTTGAACTGCCAACCTTTTAGTTAGCAGCTGAATGCTTCAACCACTATACCACCAGAGTTCCTCAACAGTGTTTAGAGTATGCAATATTTTGCAAACTTAGGAATTCATGAACTTTCTTATTTACAGAGTATCTCCCAGAACAAGTGTTCTGTGAGGCCTACTTTGGTAAACACAACTCTGGGCCTTGCTAGCCCTGGATTTCTGATGCTTTGATTTCTTGGGTACCAAGCAACTCTCTGATAATATTTTAGTTTCACAGGAAGATTATTTTATGATGAGAGAACTATGGTTAGGGCTCTTTGAACATTTCTCACTCTGGCAAAACAACAATTTCGTATTTTGTCAGCCTTACAAATTTACTCACAGTGCTGAGTTATTCTGCAGGGTTTGTCTATTCTTCCCTTCTTTTGGAATCTCTCTCTTCCTCTCATGAGCTAGGTAAGTCAAGAGTTGTGATCCCCATTTAACAGATGGAGAAAATGAGGCCCACAAGGGGAAAGTCATGGTCTGAGGCAACACAGATCAGGCATGAAGGGATGGAAACTAACAGAAGTGGCTAACACCACTGGCTAGTGGTGGTCACATTGATTATCTCTTTTAATCACATATAAAATATGGGACCCTCTTCTGGGAACTGATGCCATTCTCAGCCCTTCAGTAGATTATGACAGAATTTCTTTAAGGAACTAAGTTAGATACAACATATTTGATTTGAGACTATAGTTACAATACAATAAAAACCAAAAAACAAACTCTTGGTGCCAAAGGGGCAGGGAGGTGGCATCTTCTGACTTCCTCTAACTACACAAGAGGAAGACAGAATCACCATCAGCAGCCCAAGGCCTATTCCTGTGAGGCCAGACATGCTGCCTCCCTCCAGTCCTTTCACTAGCCCTGACACCAACAGTCCCTCCCACAGCACTATGCATTCTGCTGGGCTCAACAGTTCGTTGCAGTGGCCATGCAGAATTCAGACACTACTCACAGATTATGGGGTTTATTAGGGAAGCAAGAGGCTACACCTCAAATTCAGGAATACACTCAGGATTCAGTTCCTCAGTCAGGACAGTCTCCCCTCTGCCATGCCCTTAGACACACCTCTCTGGCCCTTGGCCTTTTGGCCTGGCTTCTGCCTCTGTGGGCAAAAAAAGTCTGCCACTCTGTCCCATGCCTCTTGGTTTCATTGGTGCCATCTCTCAGCTGGGCATCTCTCTTTCAGTAACAGGTCTGTCTCTCAGCAGCTTATCTCTCTCAGCCAGCAGTAAGAGCTATTCCTCCTGTCTCTAAGAGGGCTCACTTTAAGCCCAGCAGAGTGGCAAAACCAACCAATCCCAACACCAGAATTCCTCATACCCGAGAAAGAGCAAGCTTCCCAGAAAATTACTTTGTGCTGCTCTCAACAGAAAATACCACAGGTGGATAACTTTAACAATCAAGAGCTACTTAGTTGCTCACAGCAAATCCCACCATGGAGTTTACAAAGACTTATGGCTAGAAAAGCCACACTATGTAATTTACTACACCGCACTTAGCCATTTAATTGATTTCAACTCATAGTGACCCCATGTGTTACAGAGTAGAACTGTTTATGAAACAGTTCAGGTTTTCTTGGCTGAAATATTTACAGAAGCAGATCAGAAGGCCCTTCATCCATGGTGCCACTGGGTGGGTTTGAACGACCAATCTTTAGGTTAGCAGTCAAGCACAATTTTTTTTGTGCCACCCAGGGACCTTACAATACAATACCCAGTAAGCTCTCTTGTGTTGTTGGTGGTGGTTTATAAAATGAATTCTACTCAAATGAAAACTAAAACCACCATGGGCCTCTGCCTGAGGGGGCATGCTAGGCAGTGGATGATTTACAAACAGCACCTCCTAATGGGAAGCTGCGCTGCCTTTGAAATTTTACATGTCTCCTGGCTGCAATGGTTGAAGATTCTCTGTTTCCCTCTCTAGCCCTTTGGAGCCAACACAAACCCCACATCAGCCTGGGCCATCTCCTTCCAAAACTGATCTCTACCTCTCCATTGCCCTGAACCACCAGCTCAGATCAGAGGTCAAACTTCTTAGGATAATCCTCCATTCCAGCCCCAAGCCCCCCCACCCAGACACCATTGACCACAAATCCTAAATGAAAAATACTTACCCCAGAGCTTCATTATTTGCTTTCAATTCAAGTATTATTTTCTTCAGAAATGCTATGTCAGAATCGATGTTTGTAACTCCCTTATGTAACTGGCTTATCTCAAAAAGATTTAATTTGCGAGCATCTCTGACACACTCTTAAAAATAAGTGGAAATGTTACTCAATTGAGAAAGAGCATAACCATAAATACTGACTTTTCAAATCATAAACAAATCAAATCATTCTCTGAAGTATTCTTTTTATTATATCCTGGTACCAGACACCTCTTACTCACTACTTTGGATCCTCTCAATCTCACCATTGATTATTTCTCTTATCTTAGCTCCTACCATGGTGATCAGCTTTCTAAAGGCTTGAACAACTTCACTCAGGGACAGACCAACAGACTTGGTTCCTGATTGCTCCATGCACTTCTCAGCTTCTGGCTTAGGAATATCCAATTGCTTTCACCATGGAACTTCTTTAGACAACCCACACACATGCATGTGTAACACAGAAGCAAGGGAAGTTGGGTAAGTATCTGATCATTGGTAGACAGGATCCGGTACATAAATATGTCTCCCTTTTCTCACATTGATGGAGGCCACACTGTGTCTTAGGAGTATGGTTTCATGATCAGTTAGGTGCATTTAGCATGGTCAGTTTCATAAGGCACCTTCTTATTGGCTTTTCCTTTTCCCCTGCTTTAGTCTCCTTATCTTAACCTCTTACTCTTTGTATTGCACTTCCTACTAAAATAGCAGCACAAAAGCCATTGCCACAAGCTTTGCTTTCTGGGGAACTCAGTATTAAAGAACTAAGTATTCACCAGTAAATAACAAATCAGTATAATCACGTATCACTTCAGGGGATATTTCAGTGCATAAAAAATAGAGGGTTAAAATGCATGAATTTTTGAACACTGTTTAGAAATGTCTGGGGCACCCATTTCTACACAGCAAATTCCATAGAAGGTAGCTGGTAGCCATGAGAGAGCTAGGCTATTTTCTTCTAGTTCTTCGAGGCTACAAATTAAATAGTTCATTATATCAGGGCCTCTCAAACTCTGCATCTCAAATTCACATATGCATCACTTGGAGATCTTGTGAAATGCAGATTCTATTCAGTGGGTCTGGGATGGGCCCAAAAGTCTCTCTTTCTAACATGTTCTCAGGTAAACATGATGCTGCAAGTGCAAGGATGGCCCTTTGAATAGCCAAATTTTATAACATAAAACTAAATCAATGCATTTGATTAAGCATCTTGTATCAAGAACCTTATATAAACTAAATGATATTTTTTCCCTTCAAAAACACTTTTCTTGGTTATAAAAGTAATGTTGTTGTTGTTAGGAGCCATCTAGTAGGCTCCAACTCATAGTTACCCTGTGTACAGCAGAATAAAACACAGCTCAGTCCTGCACCAGCCTCACAATCCTTGGTATACCCGAGACCTTCGCTGTAGCCACTGTGTCAGTCCATTTCATTGAGGGCCTTCTCTTTTTTTTTTACTGATGCTCCACCTTACCAAGCATGATATCCTTCTCCAGGGAATGGTCCCTTCTGACAACATGACCAAAGTGGGTGAGACCAAGTCTGGCCATTCTCGCTTCCAAGGAACATTCCAGCTGCACTTCTTCCAGGACAGATTTGTTCATTCTTCTGGCAGTCCATGGTACTTTCACTGTTCTTCACCAGCACCACAACTCAAAAGCATCAACTCTCCTTTAGTCTTCCTCATTAATTGTCCAGCTTTCACATGCATATGAGGCTACTGAAAACACCAAGGCTTGGGTTAGGTGCACCTTTGTCTTCAAAGAGACATCTTCGCTCTTCGGCACTTTAAAGAGGTCCTTTGCAGCAGATGGACCCAGTGCAATACGTCGTCTGATATCTTAACTGCTACTTCTTCATTGATTGTAGATCCAAGTAAAATGAAATTCCTGACAATTTCAATCTTTTCTCCATTTATCATGCTATGGCTTACTGGTCCAATTGCGAGGACTTTCGTTTCTTTATGTTGAGTTGTGATCCACACTGAAGACTATAGTCTTTGATACTCATTAGTAAGTGCTTCAAGTCATCTTTTCGTCCAGTAAGTCAGGTCATCTTTTCTCCCAGCAAGCAAGGCTGTGTCATCTGCATATCGCAGGTTGTTAATGAGTCTTCCTCCACATAGTCGAATGCATTTCCATTGTCAATAACCACAAGTAAACATCTTTCTGTTATTCTTTGCTTTCAGCCAAGATCCATCCAACATCAGCAATGATATTCCTTATTCCACGTCCTCTTCTTCAATCTATATGCTGAGCAAATAATCCGAGAAGCTGGATTATATGAAGAAAAACGTGGTATCAGGATTGGAGGAAGAATCATTAACAACCTGA